CTGTTCACATGGTGTTTGTCCCGCAAAAAAAAAAACGCACACAGCTCTATACGTTTATCGAATACGCAACGGACTTGTTAATAATTGAATGAACTTTAATGTATTCATAGGAAATGAAACTATTTTTCCGGATTTAAATCGCGTATATTTGTTTTTTCAAACAAACCGACGTTTCGGGCCCTTTACAGGTCCCATGGACACGGTTGACTGAGGTGGTACAGTCTTCAACCAGTTATGTCTAATATTAATGCAAACCACCCTATTTTTTCATGTAATTTTACATTTATTTATTACATTACATATATTAAACTTTATTTATATTACATTTATTAAACATTTAATGTATTCAGTGTGCAGTGGCGCATAGTATTAACATTAACACGGAAGTCATGCGTTTTTTTTATCGAATAGTCACCGAACAAGCGTCGTCTAGTATTGAAGTATCTTTTGGAAGGAGGGCACGCATCATTTTATTAATACAAAATGACCAGCGAATCTTCTGTGGATAAGATATCAATAAATGCCCGTATTTTTTGCATCACTTCTCAGATTTTCGTTAAATTCATTGGATGAACCCAATAACTTCTGTTTTTCCGACAGCAAAGCTTTTGGCGTCTTCTATGCCAATATAAAATTGTAACAAATGAACCCATCACAGACGTGTTCTCCGTTTTTTAAACGCATGAAAATATATCATGTGTACAACCCGCTGTCTGTCCGTTTATAATCGAATACATTAAAAAAGGTGCAGGACAATGTCGTATAAACGTAGGCTCTGCTTTTTTATTTTGAATCACCCGAGATTTCAGACGAAGGTATTATTCACTCTACGTTTATTACTTAAAGGTTAGGTACTTACTAGTCGTTATTTCAGTTCATTATGCATAAGATGATATTTCATCATTATCATGATTATAAACTTAAGAGCTCTCGAGTCTCGAGTAAAGGCTAATATTGTATTTATTTACATAACCTGCAAAGTTATTAGGTATGTTGTAAAATAATTTCTCATAGTATTTTATGGAGCGAAGGAAATTGTATTGTTGAACACATTGACTTACAAATAAATGAACGACGGGTCTAATATAAAAACCACGAAAAAAATGTCCCAAGTCAACCTATTTAAACGTAGTGACATGTAAAGGAATATGAAAAAGCTAAAACGTTGAATTTAAATTGTAATGTCATCGCAGTACTGTCTAATTTTGCTTGCTTCGCTGTCAGTCGAACAAACGAAGACTAAAGCGTGAATGACGCTCTGTATACGATTTTAACGCCCTATAAGTTCGGACACTTTAAAGCGCGGACCCGACGTCCTTATAATTGTAAGTCAATGGTTGAATATTATAATTATTTAATTATTTTAAAGTAAAGATATTCGTATATTTCTAATTTTACATAATCTTTAGCAATGTTGATCAATGTTATTAGTGTTTACAAGAGCAGCCCATATGGCGCTAAATGTGAAATTCCTTGGACGCTGATCAAGGCCTTAGACCGTTTACTACTAATCTATATAGCTATATTACGAAGTAAATACGAATTTTCTAAACAAAAAGACAAAAGAAAAATTCATACAGCCAGCTGCCCAGTGTTCATAGTTGCGAGAATTAAAAACTTTTTTACTATTGTTGTGTTATTTCGCCTTTTTTATATTTTGGTCGCGAAAATGAGTGTTAGTGAGAAGAGCGGTAACGAAAATAAAATAAAATACACTCAAACACATTATCAGAAGCAGGCTATTATTCATGTGTCTGGAAAAACAATCACATGTTCTTTTAGCAATTGTCCTAACACGTCAAATATTACTTTTAATATTAATTCATATTTTTTTACTTTGTCTATTATACATCTTTCTCTCTTTAGTCTTGTATTATTTCCTCACATTGTTTGAGAAAAATGCCATGTATGTTTTGGCGGGAACGGGGATTGCTTGACTCGTATTAATATAAGGCCTAGCTGTACTAAAACCACAGTGAAGCTACCACTATTATCAATATACACATAATATACTATTAATAAATCTTTATTGACCAAAGATCTCATGAATGCACACCGGTTTCTTCATTACATTATCGCTCTATGGATTTATTACGTCAAGATTAAGCAAAAAGCTTTAATGTTCCAAAAAATCTCTCCAAAAAACAAAATGCAATTACTTTAATAAATTTATAATCTATAACAGTGTAACATTGATTAAATCAAAGTTTAATAAATAAAGATCTATATCAACTAAAGTTTACGTTGTAAACTGAAATTTACAATAAAGTAAACTTAACATCGAACCACTAGACAACCTGTATTAGTTTATTTATATAGCAGAAGAGCTCCTTGTGAAAGAGTTCGTCCTGGAAAGTACTGCCACCTTACCTATTTCTGCAGCCAAGCAGTAATGCTCACATTACAGAGTACTAAAAACCGACCTCAAAAGTCATTCATTCCCTAGTTTACCACCCTTAGAGGGCGAATATTTTTTTCAAATTTAAATGAGACCACTTTTGAGATACCCTCTTTACAACAAAAAAAGAATCATCAAAACCAGTTCACAAATGGCGGAGTTATCGCATAGCATACATGCAAAAAAAATAAACGTACAGTCGAATTGAGAACCTCCTCTTTTTTTGAAGTCGGTTAAAAAAGAACAGATCACAAAAGTTCGTGGAATTGCATCTATTTGTCAAGTTTTATTGCACCGGTTACCGGAAAGTTCGCTAACCTGAATTCATCCTTTAGTTTGCCACCCTTAGAGGTGGAATGTCTTCTTCAAATTTTAATGGTATCAATAATGAGGTATCCTTTTTCCAACAAAAAAAGAATTATCAAAAACGGTTCACAAATTCCGGAGTAATGGCGTAACATATATACAAAAAAATACTGTCGAAGTCTGTTAATTAGCATAGGGAATATTCTTTCTTCAAAATTCAAATTCAAATTCAAAATAATCTTTATTTCATAGGTAAGCATTATTACACTTGAAATCGTCACAATGGTTAAACTCTACCGCTCATTCGTAAGGCAGATTCCCCTGAAAAGAATGAGCAAGAAACTCTAGGGCTTGCTCTTTGTAAATAGCATTTGTACACATTAATAATAAATAATAATAATAACGCACACACTCGACATAGCCCCGCACTAGGGAATCCCTGTGTCGCGGGTGCCATGGACACACACATAGATAACCACAAATTACACCCAAACTCACGAGAGAAATACATGTAGGCCATACAAATATTTCTCCCGGCCCGGGAATCGAACCTGGGATCTCTGCGTGGCAGTCGTAACCGTTCGGCCACGGAGGCAGTTAGTTAGTTACATTCAACATTTACAATAATATATTTTTTTTTGTTTTTAAACATCAGAGACCGAGACTATCTCGATGAGCTAAACGGGTTACTACCACGGATTTTTGTCATCCAAGTACGCAGAAGTTGTATAATAACCTTTAGTATAAAGTTTTTGTTTCACTATAGTTTTAAACCCCGTGAAAGGCAAATTTTGTATATCAACCGGAATCTTGTAATAGAAGCGTATACATTGCCCCTTAAATGATATTTTGACTTTGTGAAGACGACTATCAAGAAAAGCAAGTTTATTTTTATTCTTCGTATTAATGTTATGTCTGTCGCTATTTTTCATAAACAAATTACTATTCCTTTTAACATAAATTACATTTTCATAAATGTACTGTGAGGCTAGTGTAAAAATGTTAATTTCCTTAAACTTATCTCTCAAAGATACTTCGGGGACCAGATTGTAAATTGCCCTAACCGCACGTTTCTGCAGGACAAAGATTCTATTGATACTCTTATTCAGAGTCCATAATGACGAATGATTAATGGCGAAAACACTATAACAATGCAGCAACTTTTGATTGATTTATTTATTATGAATCACAACACGCATAAACTTATATTTTAGAACTCCGTATGCAGTTCATAAATCAACGTTTGGATCTTCAGTTGCGAATTACGCAAAGTTGGCGCCTCTTCACGCTGTAAATTAGATGTAATGCTGACGCCTACCCGTGAGAATAGCTTTATTGTCTCGTATATAGGTTCATTATATTTAGATACTAGTTTTCTCAAGGTAAGAGGATTATTTTGGTCAATTTTACACATTTCTCTCACGTTCCTGGTAACTTTATGTTTAAATTATTAATAATTAAGATCGAACTCTTTGAAAATATTCCCTCGATCCGGCCGGATTCTGACCGCAGACGTCTTCTAGCAAACCTTGCCAGATGCTATGCCAACTAAGTCACAAAACGAACCAGCGGACGTTACGAATATTTCTATTAGTTAAAACCTAAAAACAAAAGCAAATAGAATATATAGACGAATTTTTGTACCGACTGTGAGAAATTTATTTCTCCACTCAGAGAGGTACCTTTACAGCGACCATCGCTGACTGGAGATGTAGCTTTAATCATTGTAAATCCCTGGTTTAGTTGGCATAGCGTCTGGCACGGTTTGTTAGAAGACATCGCTTCGAATCCGGCCGTATCGAAGGATTTTTTTCAAAGTGTTCGGTCTTTGTTACTAATAATTATAACAAAGTAGTGGAGCAATTTCACAAAGAATAATTGAATATTATGGTAGAAAAATACAAAGTAATATTCAATAAAAACTTGAAAATTTAAAATTTAACTTGTTATTTAAAACCATGTAATTAACAAATGAATTTATAAAAAAAAATTATTATAGGAAATTAAGGGACGAACAAGTCGTATGTCGAGTGGTAAACGACATGCGTGTCCATAATAGATGCAGTGTCACTCAAACTTTAAATCACAAAGATCTGACGGGTTTTACCACTGCGCCTGTCGCTCCGTGACAAGTGCCTGTGATTTCACCAGCACTCTGATACTTCAAAACCGAAACTCGCATTACGGCTTGGCGGCAGAGATATCTAAGGTGGAAGTACGGATGTTCATCTGTCCACTACTGATGAACTCTCTCATAAGGAGCTCTACTACTATAAATTTCCTCGTAATTACTTACGTAGAGCTAAACTGTTTCATACTGTAGCTGTTAGACATCACAAACACAAAATAAATGTACAGTTATATACAAAATCACTTTCACTTTAATTTAAAGTAATTTGTTAGAGCAGTTTTGTAATTATAAATATTTTTTTAATTTTATGTATTGACGCGTGCGCGGCATGATTCGTGTGCGTCGGCGCATACGGCGGGTGCTCGTTTAGCGTGCAGCGACGGTGTTTATAAATAATATACTAGTGTGTCAGCCTCAGTTGGCGTTGGCAGCGACACTCACCCGAGGGCCGATGGAGTCTGCGTTGCAGAATTCCAGGCCGCGTCAAGGACGTTACAAATAAATTCTTACGGAAAATAGAACAATTTTAACAACGCGACGTCTACGTCTTAGACACGTGCTTTGTATGTTACTAATACGGATAGATACATCTGTTATGTTTCAATCAAAGGTGTTTTTCGTGAAATTTTAATTATTCTTGTTGCTCTGAAGTAAAAAAAATAAATATATTCCAAATTAATTATATTGTTTGGCTGTTGTTGTGAGCGAGCGCGAAATTGATTTTCACTGTTCTCGTGTTACAAAATAATTATGAATGTATTAAGAAAGGCGGTATTAAAATAAAAGTAAATATATTGTTATATTTATTTTGGTTTAATTCAATGTAGACATAAAAATATTTTTAACCGATTTCAAAAAATGGAGGAGGTTTTCATTCGACTGCTACCGAACTTCATATAGTTCGGTACACAGAAAAAAGAACGTCGTGTTTTTTATTAGTTCTCTAGTAGCTCTTGATTAGTTAAATTATTGGCCTAAAGATCTTGCAACCAGACTCAGACCATTAACCTTTATTAAAAAATATAGGTTAAAATTTCAGAGGTACTTGGCCACTTATATTTTATCTCTTTGGTTTTTTGTTTTGTATGTGAAAAGGCTGAAATTGTTTTGTATATGAAAAATAAATGGGTGAAAATATATTAACAAAAAATTGCGTTCGTTGTCGCGGATTGTTATCAAATTATACATTGAATATTGATTGTGTTTTATTATTTCATTTACTCGTAGAAAAAGTATTGTAAACAATCATCACATAATTAGGTCTTCAAATCTCGTTCCTATTACTTAGGCCACATGGCAAAGCCTCGTGGCCTAAACACGGTAATCGACTTTAAGAGCCATCATTATGTAACGATTGCATAAAATACTGTTTATGTTACCGTGGTTTAAGTACCTGTAAAGAGCCCGAAACGTTCATTTATTTGAAAAAAAACAAATAAAAACGATTTAGATCCGAAAAAATACTTTTATTTCCAAGGTGTAGTTCTGTGATGTGCTTACATATGATTGGTATACATATTTTAAGAACCAATCGTCTCGGATTGCCGAATAAATAGACGTGTTTTCCAAATTTGTTAAGCATGTTGCTATATAAACTTTTATTGTCCTTTCATATGTAAACTGCGAATTCCTTCGCAATATTTCATGCGATTGTATACAATATTTACATTATTATACTAAGAAAAGTCAACAGCAGTAAAACTCTTTGTGGAGGAGTTTGTCCAGGGCAGTACTGTTACCTTAGCAATTTCTGCCATCAATCAGTAATGTGAACATTACTGCGTTCCGATTTTGAAGTGTAAGGGGTGTTACCATTATGTCGTGACGATAGATAGTCGTGCAGTTTAAAGTGTCGAGGCTTGTATATTTAAATAAAGTTCTATACACATAATTAACTGTCGTTCACGACTTTTTTGATGTTACGATGACAGACTGTCGTGACAATGGGAAAGCTAGAACGACAGTCGTCCGGCGATAAATACAACAGATAATCGCAGCTTCAAACGATTCTGTCTTTTAAACGACATGGCAGCTGTTGTTAACCGATAAATTGTCGTCACGATTTAGTGGGAACAGCTAAACACGACAGTCGTTCAACGATAAAATAAATGGTCATGACACTGTCATGACAGATAGTAGTGAAATGGGAACAGGTTAGACGCAACAGTCGTCCAACGATAAATAAAACGACATAATGGGAATGAGCCTTCTCACGACCGTCTCACACCCAAACTCACGAGAGAAATAAATGTGGGTGTGGTAACCGTTTGGCCACGGAGGCAGTTGAACCAGTCAAAGGTTGCATCAGCAGGCCGACAATATAAGTTGCGCGTCGGCGAACACAGCCAATTGTTTGGCTGTTCTGCTAGCAATTGATCCAGATCGTAATCAAGTATCGATCTCGTTCAGTGGCATCACGGCGTACCACGCACCCTGCTAGTAAAGTTATTTAAGATTAGACGTGGCGTGCTGTGAAAAGAAATACGTGTCCCGCGCGCCGCCCACATATACTGCTACGTCAGAAAAATCATTTGTTCTACGGTGCTAAGAGTGTTGCTAGATGATTAACTTATATTTAAAGACAATACTAAATATCGTCACTTAACAGCTATGTAAATTTATCGAGCTGCTTGGTCTCTGCACTGTAAATGACGTATGTCCGTGCTTCGATTACATTTCTTTACTCATGTGGTACAATTCCATGAAGACTCTTTTGTTTTATTATGAATATTTAACGGTATTGTTTTATTTTAAAATGGTAACATTGACAAATTACAACTTTGTTTGTAAGGAGTTTTAAGTTATGATTATGAATAAACTGCATCTGTGGCCGAACGGTTACTTTGCCACGCAGAAGTCACGGGTTCGAATCCCGGGCCGGGAGAAATATTTGTAAGGCGTACATTTACTTCTCTCGTGAGTTTGGGTGTAATTTGTGGTTGTCTATGTGTGTGTCGATGGCACCCGCGACACAGGGTTTCCCTGGTGCGGGGCTATGTTGAGTGTATGTGTGCGTTATTAATACAAAGATCTACACGCAGAAAAATTTTATGACCCAGTGACACTTGAACCCACGTCTATGCTGCACCGTAGCATAGCTCTTATCAACTGAGCTGGGTCCAGTTACCGAGCCGTCGAAATTCTCCTATGTGTTTGTAGATCTTTGTACTGGCTTTCTATCTAATGAGAGATTTTGAATGACCTTCTCACCGCAACCGATACCTTTACAGGTATCACAACTTGCCCAGATTTCACTTTTCGATCAAATGTATTTATTTATTGAGATTGTTTTGTGAAATAACTCCACTGGTTTTGTTATGATTAGGAGTACAAAGATTGAACATAGAAAAATTTGGTCGACCCGGTGAGACTGGAAATGCAGCATGGACGTGGGTCGTACATGACCGGAGTTATCGCGGTACATACATACAAACAAAAATATCTGGCAGTAAGGGTTAGACGCTTGTCCCGAAAGACGAACAAGTAAGTGGATTAGTAAGTGAAGTGTCGAAAACGTCCATAAGATATGGAATACGCGCGTCCTCCGGCGGAATCATCATTGGAAGGCGAATTGAAAGGCCTCCGGAGTGAGCAAAGAGCCTAAGAGGTACAGGCTAGTTTGTTGGTGAACCTCATCGGATCGGCGGGCTACGAAGTATTTACGACTTTTACTTTTGATGCGGGCGAAAGTGAAGATGACGTCACATGTGTATTGAAGAAATTCGACACATATTTCAGTGCAAAGCACACTGAGGGTAGGATGACTACCCTCGCATAATATATTACATTTACTACTACAACCGAAATAATTTTACAGAGTGCATTAGGTACAATAACAGGATTTATAACTATAAACGAACACGGCTACTGAACCAATGTTGCGACAGGATTATAGAATTTGATGTCACAAAAAATGTAGTCTTGACCTGTTTCTGCAAAATATTTACTATCACAGGTGCTAGTGTTTTGACTATTTTTAACTTTTTCTTTGCTAATTTGACCCAAAATTCTGGATGTAAATAATGACTACTATGATATGTTTACGTCGCATGAAAGTTTACGTGTGTTTTTATCGCATGAAAGTCTAGCGTCACACTCGCATCTTTTAGCGTAGCGGTTTGCCACAACACGACATCCGCGCGGCGGTGGGCAACGCTAGGCCAGTGCGGCGTATACCCGGCTTTCGTACCGATTTAGAAGGTTTGCTCCTATTCTCTGTCCGACATCATTCCGAAACAATTACTGTCAAATAAGTAATACTTGACTAAATCAAAAGAACGGGAGTAGACCCCCAGCAGTCGCTCACTGACTCGCGTCGCCACGCGGACGTCGTGTCTATGTTGTGCGTACGTTGTCAAGACTCTTGAAAGACGCTGGTGTTGTGGTCTCTAACTGTTATAACAATAATAATAAATCTTTTTTTTTCGACTAGCATGAATCATAACATTACAAGATTTAATACAATTAAACTCAAAACTGAAATTTAGAATTTAGTACGAAATTAAAAATTAACATAAATAATAATGTAAATAATACAAAATGAAATTACAATTAGAAAACAATTTATCTTTAGTCAACAGATGTAACATGTTACAATGGTTCATGTATTGACAGTCAAAGCGTTCAGCAAATGTCTTTGGGATACTCGACCCGCACCCTGCGTACCAGTGATGTGCACTGACTGCACAGCACTGGTACGGCAAACATTCCCGATGCGCTGCAGAAGCGAGGCAGCCCCAACAGCACCCTAAATGCATGTACTGGACACGAATTGTTGTATTGTTTTCACTTATATTTCACCCACAGACTACTAGTACAGAAGAACGTACAAAATGCCCTGAAGAGGGTGATCTTGACGTCCTCGAACATCGAGCAAATCTGCGAGCTTATCGTATTAGCTTTAACAGCCAACGCCTTACGCTCCCTCTTCATGTCAGCATCGTCCTCGAGGCCCGAGGTTACAAAACGTCCAAGATACTTAAACTTGTCCACTCTATTAAGAGTACACCCGTAAAGTTTAAAAGATGGTATTTTATCTAGACACCCTCCCCGAGCTTGGAAGACCATGCATTTACTTTTTTCACAATATATAGCAAATCGTGACTGTCAGCATACCTTTCACAGATGCGAAGCAGCTTACACTTACAAACACTTAGGAGCACTATATCGTCCGCAATAAATAAGCATAAAAAGTTAAAGACTAATTTCATTCATAGAATTTTTATACCTTACCCCTGAAACGTTGGCATTCTGCAGACGCGAGCTTATTACACCAGGACGCGAAACGCTGAGTGGAGAACATTTTGGATCTCAGTGTTAAGGTTTATTCTATATTTGACATAAGACAATGAGACCAA